TCTACTCATTCCAGTGATGTTCACCGTGCATAAAACCAGCAGAAAGCACAAAATAATTTAATGTTGAATTGAATAGTTTCCGAAGTTCTTTTTACTTCTTTTAAATGTCAAACAATAGACATAATTAAATTACATATAATATTTTTATGTAAGCGAAATAATTACACAAATTTTTTGTCCGGTAAAGATTATAATGGATCCATTGAACTGTCTTCTCCAAATATTTTCATTCCTAAATGCTTCTCGTCGCTCTAATTGTTCAACAATAATTATAATCACAGGTAGTATTTTATGTTTTTTATTTCAAACCGAATAAAAAATTAGGATGTGGAATATCAATAATTTGTTGAGTATGTATACGCATAAAACCTTTAAATATAAAGTACCTACATTTAAATCAACTTTCATGGTTTACTGTTTAGACTAAATAAATAATTTTATAAACTGTTTATTTATTTGATGATAGATATTCATTTTAAAATTTAAATAAACTGCGTGACGCCGCCGCCGAACAAAAAGAGATAGATAGCTGAAATACGTATATGTTAGACAGAAATAAATATATCACTCAGTTGCCTTAACCGTGGTGGTATACAATATTACCCCAAATTTGCCGAACTTATCCGAGGACTATATCGATGTGCTTCAAGAGTACCAATTTACATTTCGAGTCGAATCGATCGAGATTGGTTTCGTAATTATCTCGATATCGATAAAACGACATCGAGATTTCAGGAGTCCCGTTACAGGAGTAGACTCTTATGGGCCTCACATACAAATTCGGATGTTTTACGAGGCAAATTAAAGTTTAAGGAGCCGCCATTGAACTGGAGTGGAGAGTCTAGTAATGACGTTGTGCTTACAACAAATTTCTCACATCAGCGCCGCGCTCGGCGCCGCCTTTACGTGCCCCAAGAAATGGCTCACTTTTTTAACATGGAATCTTCACTCCTGGTCTACATTCCATAACTAATATTTTAACTGATACAGACAGGTTTAAAAGACATTAAAAAAACATCGTCAGCATGTCATTCTCAGGCTGCTATCTCTTTGTAAGGAGTCAAAATTGGATCTCAAGTTAATTTGAAATTTTGTGTTAATTTAATTAAGGAACATGTTCTACACCGTACTATAAACACACACATGCCCCTTTAATTCAGTATATTTTATTCTGTCCTATTCATAATATGTTGATGTGGATAGTAGTATTGTACCCAATATTTGCCTTGATACGCTATCAGATAGACAAAGTAAAAGCTGACACTTGCCCACAAATATTCACATTTGTAGGCCGTCAGGGTCCAGGGGGCAATGCGATCAACACACATAGATCTAACAAATTACGCATTTATTTACTACATTACTTTTATTACCCTAGTATGATAGCTTAAATAACAATTTGAGAAGTCATCGATTAATTCTGTCCCATCCAGTATGTGGATATTTAGGTTTGCTCTGATTTNTATTATTATTTTTATTATTTGATTTTTTTGGCTCAAAACGCAAACTCAAAACGTGTCTGTGAGTAGGTATCTACCTTTAATGTCAATTTTGACTATTTTGCGTTCTAAGGATTGTGACACTCGCCGTTAAAGGGCGGCACCATTCAAAATGCTGTAACTATAAACTATTGTGACAAAGTGACATTTATAAAATTATTATATTTTTTTATGAGCAAACTATCGAATTTTTGCACCTAATTTCACGAACACCCTGTATGTAGTTAAAACTTGTTATTTACAATAAAGGGTTAGAAGAAATGTTATGTATTTTTCTACATCTCTAAGATATTCCTACTAGTTAAGGTATTCTCTTAGGTAGGTATTTCCTATTCATTAAATTAACGTTTTTTTTACCGCCCTGGATGACTCACAGCGGAAAAGATCTACGTTGCGGTTATACGACGACGACGTATTCATGCTTCATGCATACCAGTAGACGTAAATTTGAATGGGGAATGGGAAATTATATATTTTTTGGGTTGATGTTACTCTCATCTAGATTGTGTTTTCTTCGTTTAAATAATTTAACTCTATTTTGTATTATTACTAAATGGTAGTGATGTACTGTTCTGACGGAAAGTGAAAATTATTTGGAATAGGAAATAGTAATTTGGTGTCTGACGAAACCAACCGAATGCGTCTGACCAATGAGAATGCCAAATTTAACTTTAAAGTTACTATGATGTATTTTTTGTTCCAAACAAAGTAAAAACGCCAAAAAATGTGGTTAAATTGGTCAAAAATGTATGATTTTTTTCGTATGTATAAAAGTGGTGCTCGTAATAGTGATAAACTTTAAATTATTAGAGGAACTTTAAAGTTTTGTAGGCATTTTTATATTGATGTTGTAACCAAAAAGTCGCTTCGCCAAAATGGACGAAGTTAACGCTCATATTCAGCCCCAAAGTTCCGTATGTAGTGATTCTAACGGAGATGATACTTCCAGAAATGATGGTAAGTATTCATTATTTTGGTAAAAATACTGAAGAATTAGGATGTATCTAGAAAAAAATCGTTTAAGTTTGTTAGGTTATGTTGACTTTTCCAAGGTTAATGTAACCATTTGTATTAATATATAAATTTACATTTTATTGCAAATTGGACACGATGATTTTCCTTTTATTTAATATTGTTCTTCTTTAATAGTACCCGCTTCACCCTTGGACTTGAGGTTATGTTTAGTGGGAAATTTGACAAATGATTTAAAACTTCGTTCAGTGGCAGAGACTTTTGGTGTTCCTATAGTTAATTCAGAAAACGGACAAGAATACGCTCAAGATGATAATATTACAATTTTTGTATTGGAAAATTTTGAAGGAGATGTATATAATAGTTTATATAAATCAAGGCAGCCCATATTGGGCCCTCCAGCATTACAACAGCTGGCTCTTCGAAAAGAAAAACTTCCTAGTAATACTAGACCACTTTTTAATTTGGCAATGACGGGAGTAGTTGTTTGTTTTACGGGATTTAGAAATAAAGATGACCTGGTAAGTACTTTTCAGTAGTTGGTATTTTAATTAGAATGGAGGCTACTGTTATGAAATAACAAATTATTTGCATGGTATTTATATTTCTTATGCAGTTTTTTGCATTACTTGTTGTAAAACGGTAATACAATGTTAATTACAACAGTATGCATTGCTGCTGCTAGATGTATATTTAAATTTTGATTGTTATAAAAATGCTTGGGTACTACGATAAATCAGAGCAAACCTAAATATCCACATACTGGATGGGACAGAATTAATCGATGACTTCTCAAATTGTTATTTAAGTTATCATACTAGGGTAATAAAAGTAATGTAGTAAATAAATGCGTAGTTTGTTAGATCTATGTGTGTTGATCGCAATGCCCCCTGGACCCTGACGGCCTACAAATGTGAATATTTGTGGGCAAGTGTCAGCTTTTACTTTGTCTATCTGATAGCGTATCAAGGCAAATATTGGGTACAATACTATTATCCACATCAACATATTATGAATAGGACAGAATAAAATATACTGAATTAAAGGGGCATGTGTGTGTTTATAGTACGGTGTAGAACATGTTCCTTAATTAAATTAACACAAAATTTCAAATTAACTTGAGATCCAATTTTGACTCCTTACAAAGAGATAGCAGCCTGAGAATGACATGCTGACGATGTTTTTTTAATGTCTTTTAAACCTGTCTGTATCAGTTAAAATATTAGTTATGGAATGTAGACCAGGAGTGAAGATTCCATGTTAAAAAAGTGAGCCATTTCTTGGGGCACGTAAAGGCGGCGCCGAGCGCGGCGCTGATGTGAGAAATTTGTTGTAAGCACAACGTCATTACTAGACTCTCCACTCCAGTTCAATGGCGGCTCCTTAAACTTTAATTTGCCTCGCAAAACATCCGAATTTGTATGTGAGGCCCATAAGAGTCTACTCCTGTAACGGGACTCCTGAAATCTCGATGTCGTTTTATCGATATCGAGATAATTACGAAACCAATCTCAATCGATTCGACTCGAAATGTAAATTGGTACTCTTGAAGCACATCGATATAGTCCTCGGATAAGTTCGGCAAATTTGGGGTAATATTGTATACCACCACGGTTAAGGCAACTGAGTGATATATTTATTTCTGTCTAACATATACGTATTTCAGCAATCTATCTCTTTTTGTTCGGCGGCGGCGTCACGCAGTTTATTTAAATTTTAAAATGAATACCTACCTATCATCAAATAAATAAACAGAAATTTATAAAATTATTTATTTAGTCTAAACAGTAAACCATGAAAGTTGATTTAAATGTACTTTATATTTAAAGGTTTTATGCGTACATACTCAACAAATTATTGATATTCCACATCCTAATTTTTTATTCGGTTTGAAATAAAAAACATAAAATACTACCTGTGATTATAATTATTGTTGAACAATTAGAGCGACGAGAAGCATTTAGGAATGAAAATATTTGGAGAAGACAGTTAAATGGATCCATTATAATCTTTACCGGACAAAAAATTTGTGTAATTATTTCGCTTACATAAAAATATTATATGTAATTTAATTATGTCTATTGTTTGACATTTAAAAGAAGTAAAAAGAACTTCGGAAACTATTCAATTCAACATTAAATTATTTTGTGCTTTCTGGTTTTATGCACGGTGAACATCACTGGAATGAGTAGACTTTCTTGCTTCAAGTCAACAAACTATTAATAGAGGTATAAAGAAAGTCACATATAAGTTATTTATTAAAACCTCTCCAACAATTGGATAAAATTTTCACCATTATAGAAAAATATTCCGGTAAATACACACTCATGACAAGAAAAAGATTTGTAATATTATGCAGTATTTATATTTATTTAATGCATAATAAGAAACAGAAAAGGTATCATTCAAAAACTGTTCAAATAGTTGTAGATAAATAGAAACCAAGGATTTTATACAAGTCCTTGTGTATAAACAAGTATTTGACACTTCACATTGGGTTAGGTTAAATACGTAAAAATAAACAAAACACAAACGCAAACACATTTGTAATGTTGAAAAGAAACAGCAATAGTCAATACATGTGATAGAAGAAGAGAGCAAATCATTTCGGCTAGCCAAGACTCCTCGATATTATATCGATTCGAATGGGCGGGGTTTCGATATTATTTCGATGGCAAAATTTTCAAGAGTACCGATATATCGATATTATTTCGATCTCGATTCGGAATCATCGAATCGACATTTCGGGAGTCCCTGCACTGGTCTACACTTCATAATATCAGTACTCAATTTGGCCATATTCTTTTATTTTTTGTTTCGATATGATCGATTTCCTATCAGAGATTAGAATTTTGTAAACAATAATAATACATTGATGGATTCTATCACATCAAAATGATAAATATAAGAATATGGCCTTTGGTACATGTTTTTTAGTTTTAGATTATTCATATTTATACAGATCCACAAAAAAATAATTTGTGTGGAAACTATTGTTTCATAGCTATCTTGATAAAAATGTCTTTACTCTTTTGTCTCTTGGAAAATACTGGTTTTAATCCTTTAGCACAAAAGAATACTGAGGGGTGCCACTAGGCGAGGTGTCTGAGGCGGAACTTATAAGACTTAGAAAGGATTGGTCTATCCTGTTGCGTGGTAATATGGATGTTCGTATGTGTTGAGCCGATGTACAATAAATCATAGAAGCTGCAGTATTCGAGAAGTATTTACTAAATTGGTCCTCAATAAAAAAAGAAATGTTGCTAATAGATATATCGTTATACCTACTGTGTAAACGTGTTATACTTACGATCAAGACTATTATACAGGCAGACTAAACCCATTTATATAAATAATGAATTAAAGAATAATAGTTTATTAATGTAACTGTTTTAACATTTTAACTTTTAACATTAGATTTAACTTTAAAATTTAAAATATGTGAATATGTGAATAACATCGTATATCCCGTCAGTTTTTCAAAACACCGATATTCAGATATCCGGTTTTGGCCATTACTCAAGTAATCGGTTATTCGAATAACTGGTTTTAGAATATCCGGTTTTAACCACTATTCGGTTAACCGGTTTTATCTGAAATCGGTTTTTATAGAACCCTATTAGCCGGTTTTTACTAGTACTAATTGTTACTACATATGAAAAAGAGCTGTGATCTACAACTCATTAGAGGTCTTAAATATGTTGGTTCCAATTTTTTAGAGACATTTACAGGGTAACCTCTTTAATTTCAACACATTTTAATTCGAACATCTAGTAATTCGAACGAACTATTTATTAAGCCATAATCGGGATGGAACTCATCATTTTATATGCAAGGTTTTTAATATGCTGGTACGATGGGTGGTGTATGAATGTTTTGTATCAAAATGCTGAAAGGAAAACATAACACAACATTTTCTTTGAAACAATGGTGATATCTTATTTAATCAACTTTGATATAAAGCATTTTAAGCGAACAAAAGTCTGACTTTTTTAATCATAAAAAAATAATCTTTCACTTTTACGAGTTCTAAACTCAGTTTTGTTNTTTTCAGAAACATCTCCAAATTATTTAGATATACACATCAATGGTTCATATTATTCATAAAACTGGTTTGAGGCATTTTTTTAAACTGGAACAAATAAGACCTAAAGTACTTCATGAGAATAAAATATAAACTTTAACAGCACTTATTTTTAAACTGAGTTCTTGAATAAAAAAATAAAAAATTAAACTGAATTTTTTTATTCATTGCACATTATAAATATAAGCTTAAAAAAGCAAATTTCTCTTGTACTTATATATATATATATATATACTCGGTATACACTTTGCAAAAATGCATTATCGTACTGGAAAAACCACATGTCCATCCTTGAGCATGGGTCAATGTTTTTAATAGCTTTTAGAACCCTGTTTCAAGAATCATACTATCCACATTTCCCCTGGTGGTCAAGATAACACCCATTATTAAAGGCCAAGAATTTGTTTTAGGTTGTTGTGAGCATGCAGATAAAAAAATATAGTCAGGTTTCATCACGTGTTAAAATGCTGTTTATACGAACACAGGCTCATAATAGTCAGGCCAGGTATAATTTTACTACTGATATATTTAAATAAAAGTAATAACTCTCAAAACTATTTTATTAATGAAAAATATTGGTAACAGAAACAAAGTATTAACTTTTAATTTAAATACGCTTAAAATACAGGGCGTACCAAAATGAATATCAGGGTTTTAAAGCTTTGTAGAATTTATTACAGTGACCTTACCATTACAAATTATACATCAAATGAACGAGCAACTCAAAACAGTTTGTCCTACAAGTGTTTAATGTGAGCACCCTGCGTCACACGGCACACATTGAGTCGATAGCCAAGTTCGTCCCAAACCTTGCTCAGTGTGTCTGGAGTAATTGATGCAACTGCAGCTTCAATCCTATGTCATAGGTCGTTTAGGGCAGCTGGTAACGGAGGCATATACACCCGATCCTTTACAAACCCCCAAAGGTAAAAATCGCATGGCGTCAGATCTGGTGAACGTGAAGGCCATGCGAAACAAGCTCTGTCATCCGGCCCCTTGCGGCCAATCCACCTGTTGGGAACAACGTTGTTTAACCAATCACGTACGAAGGCATGCCAATGAGGCGGCGCACCATCTTGCTGCCAAATAAAGTTATCTGGTTCAGCTTCGTGTAATTGAGGAAAGAGATATTGTTGTAGCACATCAAGATAAGAAACACCAGTTACAGTTGTTTCAGCGTAAAAGAAAGGCCCATACACTTTCTGCCAGGATATGGCACAAAAAACATTTAATTTAGGGGAGTTTCATTGCAACTGTACCATCTCGTGAGGATTTGCTGACGCGCACGAATACTTGTAGGACAAACTGTTTGAGTTACTAGTTTATTTGATGTATACTTTGTAATTGTAAGTTAACCGTAATAACTTCTAGAAAGCTTTAAAACCCCGATATTCATTTTGGTACGCCCTGTATTACTACGTCATGATGTGTCAATGTCTATTTGTTAATAAAAAACATTAAGATTTCCGTCGACTTCATCAAAATTGTGTTACATCACCTTTATTAAGAATAACAGCTTTAATTCTGGCAGGCACTGTAGATCTTTAACTGAATGGGCTGGATGTTAGCTCAACTGCTTCTTTATTTTATGTCACAGTGTTTCTATTGGCAAGAGGTCTGAACTGCTAGAAAGCCGTTCCATAACAGGAACATTATGCTTCTTTTATCAACATTTTTTTCTAATAAAATAATTTTGAGTACTAGTACTTTTTTGAAATATGCATATTAGTTGTTCTATTATGAGCCTGAGCTTGTATAGCGAGATGTCCTTCCTGTATTTTCAAATTAATTAAGCGTCTCACTGACATGTTGTGCTATCATTTGTCACTTAAGACGTACGGTACTCAAAGTGAACAAACTTTTTTACTCACGGGTGGGTATGCAAATTCCTCTATTACTGATGCAAGAATGCCCAAACACTCCTCTGTTTGGCAATAAGTAATGTGCCTGTTGGCATCATTCTGATTGTACCAATGTTTTTATTGATAAATAACGAGGGTGGACATTATGGCATTGGAGCATATGTGAGACTGAAATTTCATCACTTGAACTTCCGATACCACCTGAATATGGTTTTACGATGGCTAAATATTGATTAACACTTAAACCGCATATAAAATTGTATCATAAAATTACTCCGAATTTTGTTTTTGACCAATATGACATTGCGACCTTTTTTCGCTGCTATAGTTCGGGAACAACTAACAAACAGAGGTTATCAGGTGCAGTGTGGATTTGGATTTATCTCAGCATTTCAATTCGTCATAGCATGCAGAATCTTGATTTTCATAACGGATCTGAATGCATCCCTAGTTCACTTAAACTTTTTGTGTTAACTTTGGTCAAATTAAGGGTATACTCGAGGGGATATCCTTATAATTCATATCTTGAATTTACAATGGTATTATCAGTGAGATTGTCAAGAAGTAAAATATTAAGTGCAACTAAATTTAACAGACCTTTAGTAACACTAATATGTGTTTATACAGGGCTGGAAAATCCACATGGTCCATCTGCCTTTACATGAGAGCGACGAAGTAAAGTAAAGAAATCTGTGCGATAGACAAGGATGGCTATAGTGCAGACGTTTCATAATCTGAATAGTCACCGCCCGTTTCGGGTTAGAAGTGGGAGTGACTATTCAGATTATGAAACGTCTTCAATGTAACCATCCTTGTCTATCGCACGGATTTTTATGACTTACTTTATTGCTCTCACATAACGGCCGATGTACCATGGGGACTTTCCAAACCTGTATAGATTTTCAGGTATTTTGAAAAATCATTTTAACTTAGGTTATGTTAAGTTAAAAAGTATAAAACTCTTTCTAGATCTGTATACACGTACTTGTATCATAATGTGTATAATATGAAAATGTAGTTTAACTCATGATGAATTTTAAGAATTTATCAGTTTGGGACTGGTTTTTTAATTCTATATTTTTCAAGTAGCTTACGTGCTAATTAATGGCATCAGAAACTGCTAATATACATCTATACTCCGCAGTCGAAATTATAGAGAGTGACTCATTGCTAGCTTTTGGACTAGTAAGGGGGATGAACCGTGCCGGGAACGAAAATCCATTGGCGTGTCTGCATAAAAGGCAACAAAATATAGAAAATATTGAAAGAGGATAATAAAATATAACATCTAATATTTTTTTACGGTTTGCCATAACCGGCACTTTGATCCATTTTAATTATTACAGCATTTTATAACGACACAGTTCTGTTTTTTTAATTTATAAATTTATTATAGCCATGGAATTAGACCCCTCGTCTACGCTTATACTATGACGTTTCTCAGGACGGATAAATCAAGTCCGTTTACACCCACTAAAAAAGCATTTCCCTATTCCCTAACAAGTGCAAAAGACAGAGATAGAATATAGATCGACGTTCAGTGTAACTCAGT